CTTGCTTTAGCAGAACATCCTTTCACCTGTGTCTGCTTCAGTGAAACGTTCCTTCATGAGTCTGCTTTAGCCTTTCACACCTGTGTCCACTTTAACAAAATGTTCCTTCACATGTCCCAGCAAAACATCATCCAGCTGACTTTTCAAAGAACCCTTTTAAGTTTCTTCTTCATACTTGTTACACAGATTAGAAATTGCAGACACGGGCTGGTGAGATGGCTCAGTGGTTAAGAGCACTGACTGCTCTTCCAGAGGTCATGAGTTCAAATCCCAGCAACCACATGGTGGCTCACAACCATCTGTAATGATATTTGATGCCCTCTTGTGGGGTGTCTGAAGACAGCTACAGTGTACTTACATATAATAAATAAATAAAAATTTGAAAAAAAAAAAAGAAATTGCAGACACATACACATATTTGTCTATCTATGGATCTGACACAATTTTATCCCCATTCCTGGGGCCAATTTTCCACGTAGCCTGTCAATTGAGTCATATCTAATTCCTGCTTGGCATTTGGCTAAAACCAAGCGTTGAGTCACAGCTAGACTATATATAGCTGTATCCTTGGTCTGTTATCCCAAGGAAGTTTGTGAAGGAAATATCCTATTCTATCTTATACAGAAGACTGGCTATGAAGGACATTGAAAAGTGCTTAGAGTGACCGAAGAATGAATTTCATTTCATTTTCATTAAGTTAGATTTAGATAACTACATGTGCCCAGTCTTGTATTTTAGTATTCTATTGGCCAACTCTAGTCTATAGGCTTTCTTTGAGAAGCAGTGAGACAGGATCTCTTGTAGCCCAGACTAGCCTTAAACTCACTATGTATCTGAGGGTGCCTTCAGCTTTTGGTTCACCTGCCGCCACCTCCCAAGGGCTGGGGTTATACATGTGTGGCATCCTCCCTGGTTCTCTTATGGTGGCCATCTCTTGTGCTTTTTTACACCACAATCATCTGGTAGATGACAAACGCTTTTTGATAGTCTTTATAGTTGGAAGGCTTCTCTAGTAGTCTTATATCACTGTTTAAGAGAATACTCCTGCCGGGCGGTGGTGGCGTACACCTTTAATCCCAGCACTTGGGAGGCAGAGGCAGGTGGATTTCTGAGTTCGAGGCCAGCCTGGTCTACAGAGTGAGTTCCAGGACAGCTAGGGCTACACAGAGAAACCCTGTCTCGAAAAACCAAAAAAAAAAAAAAAAAAAAAAGAAAAAGAAAAAAACCTCTGTTTCAAAGATTTATTTTTATGTGTGTGCATGTATGCCATGCATGTGAGTGCCTGTAGAGGCCAGATGAGGATTTCAGATCCTCTAGACCTGGAGTCACAAGCAGCTGTGAGATGTCCAATGTGGGTGCTAGGAATTGAACCTGTGTCTTCTGGAAGTGCAGCAATTGCTCTTCACCACTGATCTATCTCTGCCAAGCTGTCTTTCCTGCACTCACCTTCCCAAGTCTTTACTCAGCACTTGGGAGTCAGAGGCAGGTGAATTGCTATGAGTCTGAGGCCAACCTGGGCTACATAGCTAGTTCCTGACCAACCACAATTACCCAGTAAGATCCTGTTTGAAAAGCAAGCAAAAAAGAAATGATATGTATACTTGAACACACACACACATAGATGAAGCCCAGCTAGGATATAGTTCAGTGGGAAGGCACGGAACCCTAGGCTTGTTCTCTCATGTCATACATGTTTATTTCAACATGTGTGTATATGTTATTTATGTGTGTAAATGCATACACATAACATTTTAAAATCACTGTAATTAAGTCACCTGTAACTCCTTCTATAGGCCTCTAACTCACCAGAAGTCTACCTGCTTCTACCTTCCAAGTTCTGGGATTAAAGGTATAAAACCATTTAGACTTTTTTTTTTCCGAGACAGGGCATTTAGACTTTTTAAGTGGCAAAATAAAATATAGAATGCAACTATTTTTAAGAGGAAGATGACGGTTCTCTGAGCACTGAGAAAAACTGCCTTTCCTTTTCAGTTTGGTCCAGGGAAGCACAAAGGAACAGAGGAGTGTAGGCATGAATGTCTTAGCTTCTCGGACCCTAGGGTGACCAGGGTGGAGGGGATCTGCTGCTCCACTGAGATCTACAAATACGCAAACTGAAAAATGAAACTGTGCCTCTTTCTACTGTGCATCGAAAATTATATTTCACAGTCATTGCTGCAACAATGTTCTAAGAATGGCTTATAAATAAATCTAGTATTAGTAACTATATAAACCTTCTCAGTGCCATGGGGGTTTGTAGCTATTTATCCCTGAATGGCTTCAAACTCACTGAGATCTCCTGGCCTCTGTCTCTTGAGCACTAGGATTATATGTGTGCAGCACCACATCCAGTTACAGTGTAATTCCTACCCACTGCATCCAGCTACAGTGTAATTCCTACGCACTGCATCCAGCTACAGTGTAATTCCTACCCACTTAGATGGAGATTGTTAACATGTCACTGGTATTGAAGACTGTAACTGAGCGCAAACAGGACCATGACAATCAAATCCGATGCTGCCTAAGGAACTAATGATCCAGTTTATGAACTTGTAAGCCCCCTATAGTTATCTTCTATTTTTTGAACAAGAGTTTAAATTTCAGTTTGTGGTTTACCTATAAGCTTCAGAGATAAAAAGGATAAAGTGAGTTTTGGAGCCATTTTGGCGAATGCCACCACCACCTCCATTAACTGGAGAATTACTAGACACTATTTCATTGATTTCAACTCAAATAATTTCATAGATACTAAAATTTCATGTTTACTCACGACACCATAGTTTTAAGATTAAGTGTTTTAAAATTTATTTTTTTAATGCATGTGTGCTCTGTCTGCGTGTACACCTGAATGCCAGAATAGAGTATCAGATCCCTTTATAGATGGCTGTGAGCCACGTGGTTGCTGGGACTCTGAACTCAGGACCTCTGAAAGAACAGCTAGTGTTCTTAACTGCTGAGCCATCTCACCAGCCCCCAGATAAAATGCTTTTTAAAAATGGTTGCAGCAGCTGGGCAGTGGTGGCGCACGCCTTTAATCTCAGCACTTGGGAGGCAGAGGCAGGTGGATCTTTGAGTTCAAGGCCAGCCTGGTCTACAGAGTGAGTTCCAGGACAGCCAGAACTACACAGAGAAACCCTGTCTCGAAAAACCAAAACCAAAAAAAAAAAAAAAAAAAAAAAATGGTTGCAGCAGGGAGCAGCGGTGCATGCTTTTAATTCCAGAACATAGACAGGATCTCAGTCAGCCTCACGTACAGAGAGACCTTTAAAAAAACAACAAATCATTTTATTAATTGGTTAAATTATATTGGAGAAATAGAATAGGCTTCATTTCTGTACCTCTAAGTTTCAGATGAACAGGAGGAATACAGGGTCTACAGCTTTACTGCCAGGGTACCAGTAGGTACAGCTTAACATTTTGGTGCCCTTGGTTTTTGTAGAGACAGGGTCTCAGGTATTTCACTTTGGCTTTGAACTTCTTCTGCAGCCAAGGAAGAAAAGATGACACTGAATTCTATTTACTGGTTAATTTTTTTTTTTTTAAGTTTTTGTTTTTTTTTGAGACAGTGTTCGTGTAACCCTGGCTGTCCTGGAACTAGCTCTGTAGACCAGGTTGGCCTTGAATCTGCCTCCTGAGTGCTGGAGCCAAACTTGTGTGGCACCACCACTTGCCTGGCTGACACTGAATTCTTGGTCATCTTGCCTGTATCTCCCAAGTGTTGAAATTATACACATGTACTACCAAGCCTAGCTTGAGTGCAATCTATACAGGAAGGCCCCAGTGTAGAAATTATATATAAAAGTTTCAAGAACACAACATATTTAATAACGGAAAACCAAATCGTTTGTTTTGTTTTTTTTGTTGTTGTTGTTTTGTTTTTCAAGACAGGGTTTCTCTGTGTAGCCCTGGCTGTCCTGGAACTCACTCTGTAGACCAGGCTGGCCTCGAACTCAGAAATCTGCCTGCTTCTGCCTCCCAAGTGCTGGTATTAAAGGCATGCGCCACTTGGCTAGCTTTTAACTCGTGATAGTCTGCCTCACTCTGCCAAGTAAGGACTATAGGTGTTTTCTTTTTACTAAATCCTAGCCTTTTGTCATTACCAGTTTGTAGACAAGTCAGCATGTATATAAACATGTTTAGAGTGTCTGAAAAAAACAGGGAGAGGATCAAAGTGCATAATCTAGCTGGGTGTTGTCCTTCTCGTCGGTAATTAAAGGGTCTCCAAAGTGGTGGATCAGACTAAGGGGACAGACTAAGTCCTGCAAGAGGCCTGTGTTTAGAGTACATTGAGGGGAAACTTCCATGCAAATCTAAGGCTTACTCAAGTCACTGGAAAATGAGGCGAGTTGTACAAGGCCCGCTCTATATGCTGTGCGGCACGGAGCAGTACAGCACCTCTCTTTCCCAGAAGAGACAAAAGAAAGGCTCTGACCTCGCCCTTGCAGAACTTAAGTCCGACTGGCAAGGCAGGGCTTGTAAAATTTAAAACTGCAATTAAATGGAGGAAAAACAACAACAACAACAAACTCAGCTCTGGATAACAATCGCCTATGCGTGTTCTACAGAGCAGCGGTGGACACTTGAAGAGAGTTTTAAACTAAGAGCCAGAGGGACAGACCAAAAATAAAAAAAAGCCAAAAAACTAAGATGGAAGAAAGGAGGCTCTTATCGAGTGGGAAATGCCAGGTGAGGACTGAAAGCGGGTGGAGGAGAGCCTCCTTCGGGATACAGAAGCAGAGCGCCGATGGAGCGCGGCGACCCAAAAGTCGGAAAGGCCGGCGGCCACTGCGGCGGGTCCGTTTAACCGAAAGGCAGCTTCCAGAGCCTCCATTTGCGCGGCCGCGCCGAGCGCGGAGGTCGTGCCGTGGGGGCGGGGCGAGTCCTGCGCGCGCAGCCGCCCTAGCGAGCCTCGCCTCGTCAGGGGGCGGGGCGCCTATGTTGCGTGCGCGGCGCCGCCCCTGCGAGAGGACGTTGCGTGCTCGTTCGCGCCAGGCGAGTCTCCGCGTCTTGCCTCGCGAACTCGGTGAAAGGAATTGGCGCCGTTCGACACCAGGCGGGTCCGTTCTGCAGCAGCACTCAGCTATCTCCAGCCGCAGCCGCCGCCCGGGCCGACCAGCAGCCGCCGCCACAGGCCGAGGGAGTCAGCAGCCAGCGGTGAACCGGGGCCCTCACCATGAGTTCTTCGCCTGTTAATGTCAAGAAGCTGAAGGTGTCGGAGCTGAAGGAGGAGCTCAAGAAGCGGCGCCTCTCCGACAAGGGCCTCAAGGCCGATCTCATGGATCGACTCCAGGCCGCGCTAGACAACGAGGCAGGAGGCCGCCCCGCCATGGAGCCCGGGAACGGCAGCCTCGACCTGGGTGGCGATGCGGCCGGGCGCTCCGGAGCAGGCCTAGAGCAGGAGGCCGTGGCCGGCGCCGAAGACGACGAGGAGGAGGAGGGCATCGCCGCTCTGGATGGCGACCAGATGGAGCTGGGCGAGGAGAACGGGGCGGCGGGGGCGGCTGACGCGGGCGCGATGGAGGAGGAGGAGGCGGCGTCGGAAGACGAGAACGGCGACGACCAGGGCTTCCAGGAGGGGGAGGACGAGCTCGGCGACGAGGAGGGCGCGGGCGACGAGAACGGTCACGGGGAGCAGCAGTCCCAACCGCCGGCGGCGGCACAGCAGCCTCCTCAGCAGCGTGGGGCTGGCAAGGAGGCCACGGGGAAGAGCAGCGGCCCCACCTCGCTCTTCGCGGTGACGGTGGCGCCGCCAGGGGCGAGGCAGGGCCAACAGCAGGCGGGAGGTAAGGAGGCGGAAGGTGGCGGGTGAGTGTTGCGTTGTGTGTGCGCGCGGCTGTGGGGACCGTGCCCCAGGCCGGCAGGGGCCCCCGGGGGCGAGCGCCGCGGGAGGTGGGGGCAGGGGAGCCCAGGCCCGCGGGGAGGCTCTCCTCGCCATGCCGGCGGCGCCTCCATTATGTACGTCGGGCGCCGTGGGGTGGGGGAGAGCTGCAGCTGCCGCGATGGGGTTGGGGGGGAGGAGGCGGGCGGGCGGGCGGGAGCGCCGGCCGCTGGGTGCGCGCGGTTCGGGCACATGTCGGGTGAGGGGGAGGGGGAAGCCCGAAGGTCCCGGAGCGGGCGGGCTTTGGCGGCTCAGCACCGCGGTATTGTGCAAGGAGCGCAGGAGTTCGATGTGACGTCACTTCCGTCGGGAGGCGCGGGGAACGGGGCGGAAGCTCAGTACAATGCGGCGGCGGGGCACGCGGGCTCGGGTGGGGGAGGGGAGGTGGGCCCACGCTACCTCCCCCCTTCTCTTGAGTGCGGCACGGCGCACGTGGGCCCGGGCGGTGTCGCGGTTTTTTACTCTTTTAAAAATGCTTTCTGGAAAGTTGTGCTAGGCTGGCAGAATCAGTAACGTCTTTAGACTGCGTCACTGCCTCCAGTCTAACTCCAGACTGATTTTTTTTTTTTAATTCTTATTTGTGGATTAAAAGGTCATAGAACTAGTCAGAAAAAAAATCAGTAGCAGCTCTTGAGGCTCGAAACAGAAAAGGATGCTTTCCTCCGTTAGTTTTCGGCCTGGTGGTTTAAGGCGGTGTCCTGTGTCGTTACAGGAGACGGCAAAACAGAACAGAAAGGCGGAGATAAAAAGAGAGGCGTTAAAAGACCGAGAGAAGATCATGGCCGAGGATATTTTGAGTATATTGAAGAAAACAAGTACAGCAGGTAGAGGCTCCTAACCCAGTTTTAACAGCTATAACTTGTCACCCATTCTATACATGGGGGAAAGCTTTATCAGGAGACAATTCTGTCTTTCAGAGCCAAGTCTCCTCAGCCACCTGTTGAAGAAGAAGATGAACACTTCGATGACACAGTGGTTTGTCTTGATACTTGTAAGTGAGGCGGACTTTCCCGCTCTTTTACTCTTGCCAATCAACTGCAGTGTTTTTGGTTTTAAGTGTTAGGAAAAATGTGTGTTGATCTTCAAGTGGAGAAAACCAGTTAAGGAATTTGTTTTAAAGCAGGAAGGTAGTAGCTGATGCTTGGGCTACAGTAGTTTAATTTTAATGCCACTTTAGTTGTGTTGATTTAACAAGCTCTAGTAACTGGTAATATTTTTATGAGTTGGAACTTCTCAGTACTTAGGGATGTAAAACTAAATTGTTGTTACACTACCAGAAACTTGTTTCTTTAAAAAACCTGCCTATAACTTGTCCTTAGATTATATGATTTAATTTTTCTCTGGTGGACTATAGTAAGTGAGCTATTTGGGTTAGTTGAATACTTACTAATGATTTTCCCAGTAGCACACAAGTGTATTCCCTAGTCTAAGGATTGTAATATTACCTTTCAATAACTGCTCTTTTGTTCTCAATTCCAGTTCAGTAGCTGCTGCTTTAACATAAGTTGATTTCTTCCAAAGACCTGGGGCAGCAGCAGTGGGCTATCTGAGCCACTAGCTTTCTTCAGCAGCGAATGGTATCAATGGCAGCACTGTAAATATGCTACTTTACCCAGTTGGGTTGCAATTGAATATGAGGAAGTATTGCAAACCATGAAATGGGCTATAGCTGTCAGATTTGTATTATCAAATCTGACGTTGGTTAGTTTAGTATTTAACATTTGTTGTGAGCAAAATGAAAAAATAATAATAAAAATTTTAATTCTACTTAAATGAGTTTTGGATCCATTCAGCTAAATATTAACATTAATACAAATTTCAATTCTATCAGCCGTCAGGAATTTTATGAACAAAGCTGAAGGAGAATATCAAACTCCAGATGAGTCAATAAAAAAACGCTTTATAATGACTCAACATTAGTTGCCAAGTGAGAATTCTGAGAAGCTGCCAGTTAATGACCTCTAGTCACCCGAAGATAGCTAGGTTAAAGACTGGATTTGTATAATCCAGGCAGTAGTTAATTCCTAGTTGTGACACCTTTCCAGATTGGGTAAAAGGACCTTAAAAGGCTACACATTAATACTTAGACTTCCAGGTTTATGGATTCAGGCTGGCTTAGTGACAAGTTTTCAGAATTACAGTTCTGGAACCCTTGTGCTAGTTTACAGAGCACAGAATCAGTAACTCTTAAATATTTGGTGGCTTGGCTTCCCTTCAGTTTTTAATTCACTGGTAATTCTACCTGGTTCTGGCATGCTTCACTTTGATTTCCTGCTGCCCTCTACTGCTTGCCTCTAAAACAAGGTAAAGAGCAGAGCAGGTATGTATTAATATTGTGTTGTCTTAATCACTTAACATACTTAAAGCACTTCAAATTTTGCCTTTAATTGGCAGTTGACTTTTTAGTACATGGTCAATGAAAACTGCCTTGGTGGGAGTGGGGCTTAAAATGAGAATAGGAAGGAGACCGTGGTATTAAAAATTCTGCAGTATGGAGAAAGGCTAAATTATGTCTACAGAGCTTAAGTAATAATTTGGATATCAAAAGAATAATATTTGATGTAATTTCAGATAATTGTGATCTGCATTTTAAAATATCGAGAGACCGTCTCAGCGCTTCTTCCCTTACTATGGAGAGTTTTGCTTTTCTGTGGGCTGGAGGAAGAGCTTCTTACGGTGTGTCAAAAGGCAAAGTCTGTTTTGAGATGAAGGTAAATGAATTTTGTGACTTTGGGAACCTATTTGTATTCATTGGTTTTACAAGTCAAAAGGAATTCTTTTCTGTGAAATAAAAGGGGATTCTCAGCAGACTTCTTTTCTTTCTTTTTTTCTCTCTCTCTCCTTCCTTCCTTCCTTCCTTCCTTTCTTTCTTTCTTTCTTTCTTTCCTTTATAATATACAGAGCTAGCCTACTTAGCTATTGTCCAAATGAAATAAGCTAGAGTTAAAGGGGATTGTCTTGTGGTAGTTATTTGACTTTTTTTTATTTTTAAAGGTAACAGAGAAGATTCCAGTAAGGCATTTATATACAAAGGATATTGATATACATGAAGTTCGGATTGGCTGGTCACTAACTACAAGTGGAATGTTACTTGGTAAAGTTTACATTTGAGTATAACATTTAGGATCTGGTTACAGTATTATATGAGACTTAGAGTGTGTTGTAAGCCTTGACTTGGTTTTATGCATTCAGTATTGCTATTTTAAAGCTATATTGTGCAGGCAAGGGTAGGGATTTGTTTTTTTTTTCCTTTGGTAGGTCTGCAGACAGTTGAAATAGACTGCTTTTAATATGTAGACGGTCAGTTTAATGTATGTATTGTATCTGACCTTATGTCACTTAGGCATTTATTATAGAGGCATTTTAGATTGTTGGGTTGTATGAATGCTCACTAATAATTCTTTCAGCATAGATTTTAACTAGAGGTGAGATGGGTCTTTGGACTTCTTAGATAACAATTTTATGGATTTTTTTTTAAGGTGAAGAAGAATTTTCTTATGGGTATTCTCTGAAAGGAATAAAAACATGCAACTGTGAGACAGAAGATTATGGAGAGAAGTTTGATGAAAATGATGTGATTACATGCTTTGCTGTAAGTTAACTGTAAATGTCATTAGCTATGTAAAAGATTCATAGTGTGGTAGATATATGCGACTAGTTCTAAGTTAAAAAACGAGAGGCTTGAGAAAGGCTCAGTGCTTGAATTTGTGGTAAGTGCGAGGACCTGACTTTGAATACCTTACACCAACCAACATAAGGTCTTTAAGATTTATTTATATGAGTTCTCTAGCTGTCTTCAGACACACCAGAAGAGGGCATCAGATCCCATTACAGATGGTTGTGAGCCACCATGTGGTTGTTGGAACTTGACCTTGGGACCTGGAAGAGCAGTCAGTGCTCTTAACCAGTGAGCTGTCTCTCCAGGTCCCAATGTAAAGTCTTAAGATTCATCTGGGAGTCCAGGCGCTGGTGGTGCACGCCTTTAATCCCAGCACTTGGGAGGCAGAGGCAGGTGGGTTTCTGAGTTCAAGGCCAGCCTGGTCTACAGAGTTAGTTCCAGGACAGCCAGGGCTACACAGAGAGACCCTGTCTCAAAAAAAAAACCAAAAAAAAAAAAAAAAGATTCATCTGGGAGGGAAGAAGCAGCAGCCAGTCTAGCTAAAGCCTCATGCTCCAGCTTTAACAGGAAGTTGCCTGACATGGAACCTTGGCCACACACAAAAAAGCAGTTGAAACTGGGAAAATAAAGGACTATTGTTTGAAGGATCACTAACACATGTAGAAAGAAGAAAAGATCAGCCCAAAAAATGTATCTAAGGCCAGGTTCTTGGGGCTTTGTGTTTATAACCATTAGTTCTTAGCAATTAGCCTTAACGTTGGTCTTGATTAGTTGAGAGACCTTACAGGTAAATAGTTTAAAACTGACTTTTAAAAATTCTATTCAACAGAACTTTGAAACTGATGAAGTTGAGCTCTCTTACTCGAAGAATGGACAAGATCTTGGTGTTGCCTTTAAGATCAGTAAGGAAGTTCTTGCTGACCGGCCACTATTCCCGCATGTTCTCTGCCATAACTGTGCGGTTGAGTTTAATTTTGGTCAAAAGGAAAAGCCATACTTTCCAATACCTGAAGACTGTACTTTTATCCAAAATGTCCCCTTAGAGGACCGAGTCAGAGGACCAAAAGGACCTGAAGAGAAGAAGGATTGTGAAGTAAGTCGTTTATTGTGTGATGGTGCAGATTGTGTGTTGCAGATGACATTGAGGAAGGGTAAAGGATGAGGAGGTTATAGAATTGTTAATACTGCTGAGATGAAGTAGTGGTAAAGCATTTCTTTTCTCACTGTAGGTTGTAATGATGATTGGCTTGCCAGGAGCTGGAAAAACTACCTGGGTTACTAAACATGCAGCTGAAAACCCTGGGAAATACAACATTCTCGGAACAAATACCATTATGGACAAAATGATGGTAAGTATTGAGATTAAAGTGTCTGGACAAAATGATGGTAAGTATTGAGATTAAAGTGTCGAGAAAAGGGGGGGTGATCAAAGGAAGGACACTTGGCCTAGCATAACACTATAGCCTGACTTTAATCTTCAGCGCTATGATAAATAAATGGGGTCAGAAAGCATCCTAGGTTAATGTTGGCTTGTATCTTCTTTTATTAGTATCTTAGAGGAAGTGATTTTGATTAAGAAATGGAAAGTACATAAGTTTGTTTATCTTCCAGTGACTGCTTTTCCATAAGTCATTAACAGCAGTGTTATAAAAGCTACTTTTTTGGGGTAACTATTGAAAAGATGCAATTGAATATTTAAAAAATGATGCCTGGTTCCTGTAATTCTAAGCTTTTCACAATATTTTGGTAGGTGGCAGGTTTTAAGAAGCAAATGGCAGATACTGGAAAACTGAACACACTGTTGCAGAGAGCCCCACAGTGTCTTGGCAAGTTTATTGAGATTGCTGCTCGAAAGAAACGGAATTTTATTCTGGATCAGGTAAGCAGTTGCTTTGAAATAGAGAAAAATTAACTGATAATTGTTAAGGTATAAGATTAATGTCTTTGTTTTTCCCTTAAGACAAATGTGTCTGCTGCTGCCCAGAGGAGAAAAATGTGCCTGTTTGCAGGCTTCCAGCGGAAAGCTGTTGTAGTTTGCCCAAAAGATGAAGACTATAAACAGAGGACACAGAAGAAAGCAGAAGTAGAGGGAAAAGACCTACCAGAACATGCTGTCCTCAAGATGAAAGGCATGGAATTCATTTTATTTTTACTATCTTATGTTCAGTTTGATGATTTATACCTAGAATATGTCTTCCCGTGTTTAGGGATAATACTAATCTGGTAAACAGAAATGTGTATGGTTAGTCTACAAAGAATGTGATGAAGCCATGACTGTGATAGTTGAAAGAATTAAACGTACTCAGAGATAATTAAAGTTTATAGAATTTACATGTTTATAATTAGTTTGTAAATTCGATTTGATTTTATTCCCTGTAGGAAATTTCACCCTTCCAGAGGTTGCAGAATGCTTTGATGAAATAACCTATGTTGAACTTCAGAAGGAGGAAGCCCAAAAGCTTTTGGAGCAATATAAAGAAGAAAGCAAAAAGGCACTGCCACCGGAAAAGAAGCAAAACACTGGCTCAAAGAAAAGCAATAAAAATAAGAGTGGCAAGAACCAGTTCAACAGAGGTGGTGGCCATAGAGGACGTGGAGGATTCAATATGCGAGGTGGCAATTTCAGAGGAGGAGGCAAGTTAATTTTTCTTTCCTGTTATTTGAAATTTGATAGTGAGCTGAGTTTATATAGTTAAATAGGAAGTTAGATAATTATGTTGCCATCTTTAACTGGTATACAATGAGGGAAGTATATTAAGTATTGGACACTGCCTACTTTCCGTTAACAATATGACTGAACTCTTCCTTAGTGTGTGACAGGACTAAATTAAACCCTTCTTGCATTTAGCTCCTGGGAATCGTGGTGGATATAATAGGAGAGGCAACATGCCGCAGAGAGGTGGTGGTGGTGGAAGTGGTGGAATTGGCTATCCATACCCGCGTGGCCCTGTTTTTCCTGGCCGAGGTGGTTACTCAAACAGAGGAAATTACAACAGAGGTGGAATGCCTAACAGAGGGAACTATAACCAGGTATTGACTAATTTGCCCTGAAATGTTATAGATGAATGCATGTTGGGAGTCTTAACTGGAGGTGTTGACATAGTTGAGAAACAGTTTAGTTTATTAGACTTTGCTTTTCAGGTCACTAACTAGTAACAGCAGTGAGTGAGCCTGGGTTATAAGGGTTTCTGCTTGCCCCCTCCCTAGAAAATAGCCAACCGTTGCTTCAGAGTTATTTACTCACAGATTTTTTTTTTTAAACTTTTCATAGAACTTCAGAGGACGAGGAAATAATCGTGGCTACAAAAATCAATCTCAGGGCTACAACCAGTGGCAGCAGGGTGTAAGTAGTTTCTTAAATGATTATATACATTATAGTGTTAATGCTTACAAGATTCAGATGGAAGTTCTTAACCTAGGGATTGAAGAGTTTTATACATTAAAGTAATATTTAATATATATGGTTGTTTTAATTACATAAACTAACCCTAAGTCTTGTGTTTCCTTTTGTAATATGTATTGGTAAATAATATGGGTAATTGGTAAATTAAAATTAAGTCTCTGTTGTAGAAATTAAGTGTGATAAATTTGTTTCCAGCAATTACTCTGAATTAGATCATTGTCATTTCCTAAAAACAATTTGAGTGGCTTATTGATGTTTTTTTCTTTAAAAACAAAATTTTCTCTTACAGCAATTCTGGGGTCAGAAGCCATGGAGTCAGCATTATCACCAAGGATATTATTGAATACCCAAATAAAACGAACTGATACATATTTCTCCAAAACCTTCACAAGAAGTCGACTGTTTTCTTTAGTAGGCTAACTTTTTAAACATTCCACAAGAGGAAGTGCCTGCGGGTTCCTTTTTTAGAAGCTTTGTGGGTTGATTTTTTTTCTTTTCTTTTTTGTACATTTTTAATTGCAGTTTTAAAGTGAATCGTAAGAGAACCTCAGCATTGTGCACGATAAGAGAATGTGTCAGTATTTCAGGGTTCTACATTTTATTTGTAAAATGTGACTTTTTTTTTATCACAACAAAAGTAAAATGTTGCTTTGTACCTGGTGTCTTTTATTAAGCATTTACTCCCCCATTTCTCACAGAGAATAACAGTCGGGAGTCATTGTCACAATAAAATAGCAATGTTAGCAACCAGATTCATGGAAGGACTAAGAGGTCCTCATGAATTGCATTAAGATTCTGTACTGCTCATAATACACTCCATCCTCTCTAGACTGCCAGGTAATAGTGGAGGGGTAATCTCTGACAAAAAAAAAATGGGAAGGCAATTTTTTTTCTGTGGAATTAGCATAATTGGGAATGAAGATAAAATTTGGAACCGAGATTGAGAAGATGGAGTGTATTTAGGAGGGCTGTTTAAAAATGTAAACTTGGTTGCATTATATGTGGAGGCTCAAACTTGTGAAGGTTAAAAAACCACAAATTTTTCCATTTGTTCTGCATTTTGATTCTGAAAAGAAAGCTGGCTTTGCCCATTTCTTATTAAAAAACTTGTTGTAAATCCAGTTGTCTAATGGGATCTATATGAAGTTAGCTATGTCTGTATGCCCTTCTCCCACAAAATACTGTATTACTAGTGTGCTTGTAGTAGTTAACTCCACCATCTTTGTAAGCTAATGAAATTGTGAGTCACCCATTTATATCTTAATTTTTAATCATGTCAGTTCTTGAATGGGTATCTCCTTAGCCTGCTGATTCCTTTTTCTTTCTAAAGAAAGTGGGTGGAGAATTTAATTTAGACGTTTGTTTGCAATAAAAAATTCATTTTACTCTT